CTTCGCACAGATAATGAGTCCATTATATGTACTGTTGCAGAAAGATTCAAAATTTGTTTGGACAGTTGAATGTAACAAAGCATATGTGAGAATTAAAAGTGAGATAACTTCAGAACAAGTCTTAGTGCATTATGACGCAAATTTGCCTATTGTCTTAACGACTGATGCCAGTAGTAATGCCGTATCTGGCGTACTAGCTCATAGATTTGCTGATGGTCTTAAACTGATAGCATTTGTTTCCAGAGCCTTATCAAAAAGTGAAATTAATTATAGCACACTGGATAAGGAAGCTCTCGCAATTGTATATAGTGTAATGAAGTTGAAACAATACCTTCTATGGATCAAGTTCATCTTGAGAACTGATCATAAGCCTCTCTTGGGAATATTTGGAGATAAAAAAGGATTGCCACTCATGGCGTCTGCACGTTTGCAGAGGTGGGCTTTAATATTGTCAGGATTTCAATACACAGTTGAATACATAAAAGGTTCATTAAATGAGGCTGACGGACTCTCAAGGATGCCTCAGTTATACAAGTCAAACGAAGATGAGGAATGCAATTATATTAACTTCATTCAATCTGATATACCGTTTAAATTGAATTTCAAGAGTATTGCTCATGAAACAAGGCATGATTCAATCCTTTCAAAGGTGTGTGAAGCCATTAAAATTGGATCGCTACAAAAATTAAACAATGCTGAATTCTCAAATTTCATAAATAAAGCAAATGAGCTAACAGTTGAGTACGATTGTATCTTATGGGGTCATCGTGTAATAATTCCAACAAAACTTAGGAATCGAGTTTTACAAGAATTCCACAAATCTCATTTAGGAATGGTGAAAACAAAAATGTTAGCACGCTCATACGTATGGTGGCCAAATATGGATTTAGAAATTGAAAATTTAGTAAGAGAATGTATCGCATGTCAGGAATCACAACCAAGTCCAGAAAAGTCTACTTTGATACCGTGGAAATCAAATGGTCAGGTATGGAGTAGAATACACGTAGATTTTGCAGGACCAATAAATAATTTTTATTTACAATAAGAACGTTAAGAGAATTATTTTGCAGATATGGTCTAGTTGATGTATTAGTGTCTGACAATGGTAGACAATTTACTTCAGAGGAATTTCGCATTTTCATGGCCAACAATGGCATAAAGCATGTTTTGACAGCTCCTGGTCATCCAGCGACAAATGGCCAAGCTGAAAACTCTGTAAAAAAATCAATTAATGCAAGCATTAAAGTTAACAGCAATTCTAGTTTTGACATAATCCTAAATAGATTTTTAATAGATTACAGAAATACGATTCATTGCACGACCGGCGAATCGCCAGCTAAACTTTTCTTTGGTAGACAACTAAAGACCAGATTTTCGTTTTTAAAACCTCCAATTGTAAATGATCAAATAAGCAAAAAGCAGGAGGATAGTGTCATGAGTTACAGAGGTAATCGCGACATAAGATTTAAAGAAGGTCAAAAGGTTATGGTCAGGGACTATACAAATCCTAACAAGGCAAGTTGGACTCAAGCAACAGTTAGCCAACAATTGGGACCTCGATCTTATTGTTGTATCTTAACTCATAACAATCGTGAAATAAAACGACATTTAAATCAAATTAGAAATCAAGAAAGCAAACACATTGCAACAGAAAAACGAGATAATCAAATCGAAAGTGATTGTTCAAGTGAAACTAAAAGTCAAAATGATACTGTAATTCCTTCTGAACCAACACCAACCAGAAGACAGCTAAGATCACGTATAGAGGGAAAGGTCTTCCACTTAAAAATTAAAAATAGAAAATGAAACTTATAAATCAGATATTTGCAATTAAGAAAACAAAATGAAATGTATTAAGTTGAATTTAGACCTGAATTTATGATGACATTTCTATTGAACTCCATGAATAATTGTTTTGTTAATTGTTAAATATTTCATAATGTTAAACATGTATTAATGCAAATGTATATATTTTATTGCGTGTTATGAAAAAGCTAAGGAGAGGCATGTTAGGTATTCGATACCTTGTTAAGTATTATTGTAAAAGTGTCACCTGGTCACATTGATCTTGTGCCCTTTAGCTACACATTTGAATTGTAACACATTCTGGAAATATACGCGGCCTAATACACAACATTAACATTCATTTTAAATCTTTTAATCTGTAATATTGGATAATATGTTTATTATTATATTTATTACTAGCAGGTATTGCCCGTCTTAACCCGGCTCAATATAATGTTTCCAATTGTATTTATTTTGTGTGTGCATAACCTACCCATATGTTTTCACCCTTTAAGTTACCAGTAGGAAGGCATTTAAGGTATTTAAATGAACATTTTCTGTTCTTGACAAAAAATTGTTCAGTAGTCCGTTACATTTTTGTTCTTGCCAAACTATTTCTTTAAACGAACATGACCACTATAACTAATATTTTTTTAAACCTCCCCCCTTTGGAGTTAGAATTTTCCAAAAGCCTTCCTTAGTGTGCTCCTACACTATGATGGATACTATGAAAGGATACTTGAGTCCAAATTTCATCTTTTACCGTTTGGGCTGTGCGTTGATCACCAATTAGTCAGGACAAACTGTTTTATATATAGAGATAACACAACGTTTTAAGATAGACTATGTGCAAAAAAGGGGAATAATTATAAGGGTATATCCTAATTTTAAATTCACATTTGAGTCAATACGGTCACGCACAAACTCGGAATATGAAACACGGCACTCGTGTCAATGCCGTGCAGCGATGAGCCACGATCAAAAATCACTGACAATTCTCATCTCAATTTGCTAGAGTAAAACTTTCGATAGTTGAAGCCACCGATACCATCAAAATATTGAAGTTTGAATGCAATAAGCAGAATATTTAAATAATAAAATCTAATTATTTATTGAGATCGATAAGAACAAATCATATACATACATACATCTGCCCGCAATGCGAAGCAGAATATGAGTAGCTCCGTTATTCGGTTTCTGCTTTACTATCGCATACGCAGTCGTTGCTTAGCGACGGTAACTGTAAACTTTTGGCGTTTTGCCTTTGCAATTAACATTAAATGGTCAAAACGAAAGAAGATGAGCGAGTTGTTGTTGTTGTTTTGTATTTACATGCTTCATACATATACAGGCATAGATACATATGCTTGTACATATGTATGTATGCATGGGCACACATAGACACGAACTGTTCCCAACTATTTGATATTTGATATATGGCAAGTAAAAAACATATTGCTATATTTTAATCGTTGAATGCCAATTTGTTGATATAGTTATGTTGATTACATTACCCAAATTTGAAATCGATCGGACAAAATTTATAACACAAACTATTCATTTGAAAAAGTGAATAAATATTAAAACCCCAATAATAAAATTAAATGCGATATATCGAAAATATCGATACTTGTGTTGATATATCGTAATACATGTCGAATACAAATACATCGAAAAACATCGTTTGAGAGTTATTGATTATAATACTGTATTCGATTGTACACTGTACACATACATACATACAAATTTATTTGTATGTGTACTGTAACTGTAAACTTTTGGCATTTTGCGTATGTAATGAACAGGCGTAAATGATCAAAACGAAAGAAGATTTGCGAGCCAATAACTTGAAGTTGTTGTTGTTGTTTTAAAAATTTTGATTTGAAACCATAGAAAACTATTTTTTACATTTAAACAACAGTGTTCGATAGCCCACTGCATACTTGTACATACAAACCTATATATGTATATAGGAATGTATGAACGTACATACATACTTATTGATGTACATACATACATATGTACATGCTATACGTACAGACGTATGTACGTATGTCATACATATGGTGCTGGCGTGTATGTATGTATGTATGTGTGTGTGTGTGTATGTATACTTAGTTGTCCCCAACTGTTTGATATTTTGTATTGTTTGTTCTACCTGCATTTGTAAAATGCATATTTTAAAAATCGTTAAATGCAAAGTTGTAATTTTAGTTACGTAGATTATATTACCCAAATTTGAAATCGATCTGACAAAATTTATAACACAAACTTTTCATTTGAAAAAATGAATAAATATTAAAACCCCAATAATTCAAGCTCCAACACAAACCGAGTATGCAGTTTTGTTTGTATTCTTTTATAGATTATAAAACCTAAATTTAAAGTTGATCGATTCAAAAATGCAGAATTTTCAAACAAACTTTGGAGCTACTTTTCCCCCCTTTGGAGCTCGAATTTTCCAAAATCCCTTCTTAGTGCGCATCTACATCATGATAGGATACTTGAGCCCAGTTTTCAGTTTCCTAGCTTTTACCGTTTGGGCTGTGGGGTGTTGATTGTGTTTCAATTTTTCCACGGAAAACCCCCCCTTTTTCATGCCCCAGGAAAAATGGTGAAAAACCAAGTATACAGTTTTTCTTGTATTCTTTTTGAGAGTATACAAACTAAGTTTGAAGTTAATTGGATGAAAATTGTAGATTTTTCATACAAACGTTGGAGCTCGTTTTCCCCCCTTTGGAGCTCGAATTTTCCGAAACCCCTTCTTAGTGCTCACTTTCACTATAAGAGGGATCTTGTGTCCAAATTTCAGCTTCCTAGCTCTTACCGTTTGGGCTGTGCGTTGATTGCCAATCAGTCAGTCAGTCAGTCAGGACAAACTGTTTTATATATATAGAGACTAGAAGGTCTTGCCCATCTTTCCTGTGCTAAGTAAAATATGCTTAAAATTATAAGTTTAATTACTATATGATATTCTTGTTTCGACGCTCTCTAAAGTTTTTTAAAAAGTTCATTTTCCAAATAGCAAATATAGTACAATAAGTACTATATATGGTTATACATATTTCAGGCATTTACTGGATTTGGGAAGACCATTTGGTCAAATCTGAAATGTCTGCTTTGCCGTATATTCAGAAATATTTAGTTCGATTTCCAAACACACTGAATCAAGAGATAATTAAATTTGTTTTTATTAGATGCCAAACTAGATTCGATTTCTATTTGCATTTGGACCATAAGGAATTTACAGAAATTTTATTATTACTATTACACTATATGAAGGCAATTACTTTTAGATTGGACGACGGTACTACACACTACATAAGAGCAGGTATACAATTTATTTCTACGTTGAGGCGAAATTTTGATTTCTGCTTGATGAGGTTGGCAGGTTTAGAACAGCTGAAGGGTGTTTTGTTGTTGAAACTGATGTATTTCTAGATTGTTGATTGTTTTGTCCAGATGACATTTTAAATTGATTGAAGGCCAGTCTCGGTTCTTGACATTGGAACCGGACGGTGTTGTGCAATTTTCAATTAACGTCCCGTGCACACTCTACGGCGCTTGTGACGACAGCTCTTGATTACTTTACACGCCTGCAAAAGAGAATTTTTGAAATGATTATGAAATAAATACCAATACGATGCAGCATTATTGTAATAATTTTTAGGCAAGCATCTTCAAATATATTGAAATGGATAATTGAATAAAGCTATTTAAATATTCTTCTTCAGTGGACTGTACTTACCATGCGTCTGTATCTATACTTCTTCTGCTCGGAGAGACGGCACCAAGCACGCGCCGCATTCATTATCAGTTCTTTGGGCTGAAGGCCACAGTGTTTTTTACGAAAAGCTCGTATAAAGTTCATATAGCCATTGTTCGTGACTGGGCCCGGCTTACTGCACCTCTTGCGTTTGCCGCATTCAGGTTTCTTTTCGAGGCAGGCCGTCTTTGGTTTGGGGCATCTGCTCAATTTATTCCAGCATCTGGCACCAGACTTAGCCGCCTCCAGCACATCCATTCCACTATTAAGCTTTACGAATTCGCGAAAATAGTTCAAAAATCGTTTTTAGTGATGGGTCTCTGGCGCATGGGTTTCGGCCGCGCCTACGAATTCTCACAGTGCAGTGTACCGCTTCGAAATTTGAATGCGTTCCGAAATCTAAGGCCAGACATAAAACTAGAATTAGTAATTGATAAACATTGTTTATTTGCAAACGTTTTTTATTTCAAGATTTATTTATTTATCGAATCTTCTCTCACGGAGACGTATGATAAGTAGTCAAATCTTAATCTAATATAGTTCTTTAATTAATTACAATTAAATATTTGAATTATGGCCCTAACTGTTACTACTGGGTTGGGAGGTCTCTTCGCCGGAGTCGTGTATGGCTAGCCTGCCAAGTTAAATTCGAAGCTTAAGCTGGTACTTTGCTTTCACCTTGGCGATTTCATCTTTAACAGGTCCCACATTTAAATCTTTCCGGATATTTTCCGTATGTACCTGGGTGCCCCAGTAATGCACAGCGATGGTTCTCAGTATCTTCGATTGAGCTCTCTCGAATAACTCTAAATTGCTAATGAAAGCGTTTCCCCATAGTTCAGAGCCAAATGTCCAAATTGGTTTGAAAACTGCATTGTATACGAATACTTTGTACTCCAGTTTTAGTGGTGAGTGGACGTTTATAAGCCAATGTAGATTAATAGCTTTTACTTTCAGTTGACCTCTCTTTAATCCGTATGTACCTGTAAGCCGTCTATCCAAATGGACACCAAGGTAAGTTACATCGTTTTTTTGTGGAATATTAATGTTGGAGGACAAGTTTGTTATTTAGGATAAAGCTGACATGTTTGCACTGCAAACTGCAATTACGTTGATGCTCTTCTTATTCTTTGTGGTCTTCGTGTACAGACATGGCTCACTTTCGCATGCCCTGTAGCCAATTAGTTTTGCCACCAAGAGTGCCTTGTATCTTTCGATATCGCCATTCGGACTTATTTTTAGTATAAATACCCATTTCCAGGATATGGGTTTTTTACCTACCGGTAACATGACTGGCCGCCATGTTTCGATAGCGCTTCTTCAACGTTTTCTGGAACTTGAATGTCGTCGCCGCACATCATATTGAGAAAGTTGAATGCCTTGCGAGGTCGACCTCTTAATCCCGTTCTGATGATTCTTGGCCTGTCTGGACCAACTTTATCAGACACCAGCATCACAGAGTCGACATTAACAGTTTCCTTTGTTTCGCAACTTTCCACAAAGTATACGTCAGGGCTAGACTTCACGTCACCAGTTTCTTTATCATACAGACGATATGATTTCGATGTCTCTGAGTATCCCACCATTATATACTCTTTGCCTTTCTCTTGGAATTTTTTCTTCTGCGTCTTGTCAAGTGCAATAGCAATCGACCCAAAAATTCGTAGGTGCTTGACGATCGGTTCGTAGCCCATCCATAGTTCAAATGGAGTCACGCCTACCAACGCTTTTGTAGGTGACCTGGTGCGCACGCAACAGCTTCAGCCCATTAGGGTTCTGTTGAATCTCTCAGCGACTCCATTTTGCTATGGTGTATATGGGACCGTGAACTGGCGCTTTATGCCTGTTGCCTACAGATATTCTTTAAACTCCTTGTTTGAATATTCCGTCCCATTATCACTCCTGATAGCTTTTACCTTTTTACCTGCCTGCCGCTCAACCATTGCTACATGTTGCTTAAATATTTGGTATACTTCTGACTTGTGTTTTACTGGTCCGCACACATTTATTGACTAACTCAAATGTTAATTAACGAACCATTTCTTTATTTTACAGCTCGTTCAAGCTCTGCATGTTTAGGTGCCCATACCGTGCATGCCACTTTAAAAGTTCGTTACTCGCCTTTCCAAGGCAAAGTACTTCATTTTTGCGCATTCCACATATAAACAAACCATTAACTTTCTTGGCCGTAAGAACTAGACTTTTGTTGTCATTTATTTTTGCGTTTTGCTTATCAAATTTACCTGTGCAACCATTTTCTACAGCTTTGCTTACTGATATACAATTGCATTGTAATTCGGGAACATAAAACACATTTTTATACCCTGTACCCGTAGGGTAAAAAGGGTATATTAGGTTTGTGCAAAGTATGTAACATACAGAAGGAAGCATCTCCGACCGCATAAAGTATATATATTCTTGATTAGCATGACGAGAGAAATCGATCTAGACATGTCCGTCCGTCTGTCCGTCCGTCTGGATGAACGCAAGGATCTCAGAAACTATAAAAGCTAGAATAACCAAAGTTGGCATCCAGATTCTCCTAGGTCCGAGTAAGGACGAGTTTATTTTTTTTTTTGGAATTTTCCCCTTTTCCCCCGCTACAGAATTTTGTAAATAGCGTCCACATTTCAAATGCTACCTAAACCAAACTTTGCACACATAATTTATATTTAATTGTCTACTGTTGTTCAAAATTTTATTAAATTCGGTGAATTCTAAGAAAAGTTATTAGCAAAACAAATTCTCGCCTGTACAACCCCGCAAACTGCAGCAACAAGTTCGCTCTTCTTCTTCCTCTTTTTGCTTCTGCTATAGGCGCATATAACGTTGTGACGGAAGTTTACCAGGGTACATGGTATTACACTGTCGGGCTTGCTCGACTGTAGCGTTTTCTCTTGTTTAATGTTATTTTGTAGCCACACATTCCATCGATGACCACCGTGCCGCGCCCACATACCGTTGTGTGTTTGTCGCCTGCCAACTCTATTTTTTCGTGATGACATTCGAACTTATCGAACTTATTGGTAGTCACATTAAATTAGTGATTATATATCTGTATACCAAGTTTCATTATGATAGGTAAAAGAAGTATAGAAGAAAAGGGATTAAGAAATAAAGTTTGTGAATTAGCGCGTAATGGACTTCGCGAGTTAATTCTAGATAGAGAGAGAAGTCCATTACGCGTTAATTCACAAACTTTATTTCTTAATCCTTTTTCTTCTATACTTCTTTTGCGCTTGATGTACCTGGGCTTATAACCTATTGGTAATTTCAATTTGCATAGAAGGGGGAAGTAAGAAAGAGTGATCTGCTTTTGTTGAAGGTTTATGAGAGACTACTTTTATTGAGGACAAATATGTAACTTAACTGCTACTGTGTGTTACCAGATCGGTACTATTACATATGGTTGCATACTAATGAGCGTTGCCAATTACCAACAAAGACACAGTTCAGTTGAGAGCAGGTGAAAATACTTATTGTAAGATGAGCATAAAACCCATAAAGGATTGTGCGATGAGAAGATAATTTCTTGTCGTTCTGGAAGGAACTGAGAAATTAAGACGACCTAATAGGAAAGGAGAATCAACGCTACCGATTAGCCAATGACGGAAGATTAATAAGCAGAAGTCTGCTCGAGTAGGGAGGCAACCGAAGGTTGGGATCCCAGTTTAAACCGCGAAGAGCAAAAAGAAGGAATTGTTTCTGAACAGACTCATTTCGAGACACCAAACGCATGAGCAGTATTCTAGAATTGGCCGTACCAGTGAACTGTAAAGTAGTTTAGTGGTATAGGGATCATCAAATTCTTTGGACCAACGTTTAACGAAACCAAGGGCGCCCTTAGCCTTGTTTATGATGCAAGAAATGTGAAGATTGAAGTTCAATTTAGAATCAAACAGTATAAATACGTTGAAGCAATTAATGTCAATCATATAGGTGACAATATGAGGTCTGGTCCGATAAAAGGACAAAAACTTACATTTGGATCAGTTAAGGTGTAATTGGTCAAGCATTATCTCTGCATGCAGTTCAGATCATCCTGCAAACGAGTGTGAAAGAGAGGATTGTTATATGACAGAATGAGCTGGCCCAGGAGAGTATGAAGATTTGACTGTCTTAATACCTAACAGAATGCAGCAACTGCAAATTATGGGTGAAAAAATATAATTAGAATAAGGAATTTTATAAGGGTATGAATCACCATTGAAACTAATAGATGAATAAGTTGACTGAAAAACTTAGCGAATAAGTCAACAATAGCAGAATCGTTGCTTGCATTTTCATTATGAAGAAAAAAAGAAGAAGGCAAAGCGGACGATTTACGTTTGCAGTTCACAAAATTTTAAAACTGCTTACGGTCTTGACCAATCAGTTTCTAATATTAATCTGTTGAGATTATTAAAATCGTCTTTCCGTGAACTTTTATGAGTCAATGAGGGAGAGGCCTTAGCTTCGTAAAGAGAAATCGAGATTTCCATAGTAGGGTGATACAAATCTTCGGGAATAGATAGAGGTGAAGAAATAGAGATTACAGCATCTGTGCCCACGTTTACAAATATGAGGTCAAGCAGTTTAATTATGTTATTAAAAATTGAATTCATTTGAACCAAAGACAATTCAAAGAGAGAATCAAGAAAGTCAGCATTCATATTTACATAAACAAATTCTGATCGAAAGGTGGATTTGATTGCGTTCAGTACACCACCACCACGACGATTTGGGCGATCAGGCCTATAACTGGTAAAGGCAGAATTCCATAGTCAGAAACAGGATTATTTAAACATGTTTCCGAAAATGAAATAATGTCAGATTCGAACGCTATGCTGCCATTAAATAAGTTTTTAAGCTTAGATAAAAGACTCCTAACATTTTGGTGATGTAGAGTAAGCGGAACGTGAACATGGTCTAGTTTTTTGAGCCATTACTAGTGGTAGGTTGAGAAGAGGGGGGCAACAGGCAATAGAACAGGAGCTGGTACAGTTCTATTTCTTTGTTTGAACTCATGAATAATGATATGAGGAGACCAAAGTTTAGGGTCACAAATAATAGGAAACAGTTCAACGGAGACGCTAATTTTGAGGTTTAGAGAAATTATATTTAGAAATTGAAACACTAGCAGAAGTTTTGCTATCGATATAAGTTTTAATGGATTCGCAAGTCGTATCAGCGGATAACCTCAATACAAACACTTGTTTCCGAGGAGCCACGACATTAAGAGTAAAAGGATTGGTAGCAGAAGCTGCAATCTCGGTCACTTAAGGCGTTAAGTCTGAAACACGTACGGACCATTTTGAAGCAGTACTCAAGACTGATTTTTCATTGTTCGCAGGCGGAATGTTAACCAGCGTCGATGAAACTTCAATTGGAGAAGGCAGGGGGGAGCCATCATATTAGGGGAAGCTGACAGATTTAGAACTGGCAATCCTTCGGAGCATGTAGTTCAACGTTGGAGTTGGCATCATAAAATATCAGCGGTTCTCGCATTTGCGGAAAGTAACAGGCCGTTCGTTGATAATTTGCATACTGATTTTATTCTTACAAAATATAGCTTATATAGCCATGCCTTAAACTAGCTTATAACTATTTACATTTACTATTTCTATGTGTTGGCGGTTTCACAATAAAGATCCCCAAGCATATATTATGAGCTTAAGTATGCTGGTGTCAGCCCAATTTGGCTCATAAACTGTGACCTGATTGTTGGTCTTATGTTGAGATAGCAGATTAATATGTGCATAATTCTTGCTTATTACTATTGCTTACGTTGGCTGGCCAGTGCCAATGCACCTGTAATTCGTGCAACGATCTGTTAATAATACTCTTTACATGAAATGTACAGAAGTATATTAGGTTTGCGGGAGCTGAAAAATGAAACAAGCAGAAGGAGGCGTGGCAGACCCCACAAAGTATATATATTCTTGATCAGCGTGACAAGACGAGTCGATCGAGCCCTGTCTGTCTGTCTGTCCGTCCGTATGAACACCTGGATCTCAGAGACTATAAGAGATAGAGACACCAAATTTTGCACAAAGATGCCTTATGTGTGTATTCTATACGAGTTTTATTTATGTGTGTATTCTATACTTATGTTTGTATTCTATACGAGTTTATTTTTTGTTTTATTTTTTTGATTTTCCCTCCCACTTCCCCCCTATGGGGGTTTTCCCGATTTTCCATTCGTATAATCGCCTATATCTCGGAGACTATAAGACCTAGGAACACCAAATTTTAGTCCCAGATGCCTTATGTGAATACGCAGAAATTGTATATTTTGGAATTTCCCTCCCTCCCCCCTCTCCCCCGCAAATGCGATTTTAATATGCGATGGAAATACCGCCAGTTAGTTATTATGTGTCCGTATGCCAAGTTTCACTATGATAGACCGATTTACCAAGAAGTTATAGGCATAAATATATTTGCTGCTGCAGCGCTGCTCAAGCGCTACCCGCGGCTGTTATTGATGCGGGTAGATGCGCATAGGCATTCATACACTCACACAGACGCAATTGCTATGTAAATGTGCAATTATACACCCTTTACGTGAGTTCGAATACCGAGAAAGGTAAAATCGATCATTGAATTTTTTTTATTTTTTTTATTTTTTTTATTTTCTATAATTATTCTAAACATATGTACAGAGTATTTCAAAGTCGGGGCACCCGACTTTAGCTTTTTTACTTGTTTTTTCTAAATTTGTATAGCCTGTACCCAAAGGGTAAAAGGCTATACTACTGTTTTGCGAATGTATGTAACAAACAGAAGGAGGCGTGGCAGACCCCACAAAGTATATATATTCTTGATCAGGGTGACAAACCGAGTCGATATAGCTATGTCCGTCTGTCCGTCCGTCCGTCTGTTTGTAGAATCATGAAGTACAAGAGCTAGAATAACCAAACTTGGTATGGACGTTCCCCTAAGTCCTAGGCAGGTCAAGTTTATTTGTTTATTCTGAAACACCCCCTCACTCCTCCGCAATTCCTGTTTTTTTTTTATCAATTTTTGGAATTTTGTTACATCATTGTTACATTCAGTTAGTGCTTAGTCCGTGTGCCAAGTTTCATCATGATAGGTTAATTCTGAAGAAAGTTATAGCCATTTAAAATTTTTTTTTTTTAATTTTCCTTTTGTGGAGATTACATGCTATTTTACTGTCGGGCTTGCTCGACTGTAGCATTCTCTCTTGTCTAAATTTGCAATTAATTTGAAAACTTTCTCAAAAGGCGTTTATTAATAAAAACGATTGATTTTTAACTAAATAGAGTTCAAGATTATTTTCGGAATCGGATTCAATAATTAGTTGCTAGTTAATTTCTGCTTTCACTTTATATCTAAAATATTTAATAACTTCCACATATAATCAATATAGATAGATATATTCTTTATGAATATATATTTAATTATAATAGAAGAATTCCATAGACTCAAATGTTACATTTTAAATATCAAAAAGAATAAAAAATATCAGCACTTGGAATCGTTCCGATCAATTTCGTAAGCAGATCATTGCCTTTTGTTAATTTTGAACATTGAATATTTTGAAAATTTGGAATCAATGAATAGATTCTCCAACAATAACACTACACAAATGTCTCTCCCCGATACTCAGCCAAGCAATGCTAACAGCAACAGCAACGAATTGTTGCCAACGCCGTAAGCCGCAAATGTCCCGTTTACAAGTTTTTGCGCCGCAGAGGTGGGTCCAGTAGTCACTTAATCAATCACTAATACGAGTAGGTTGTGGACATCTGAACGTAACAATTTTCAGAAGCGGCAGAAGCATGCTAGCCACAACAACAACTTAACAACAAGAATGCATACAACAGTTCACTCTCTGTTGAAAGAACTAACTGTCTATTTGTCTACTATCTGACTAGAACTATAATTTAAGAAAAGGACATTACTTTCGAGAAAGAGCGCGAGAGAATAAAAAGTAGTAGAAACGGATTGTTTGTTTTTTGTCTGCCTGAACTATTCCGACTCTATTCGGGATTATTTATATTTCATTTTAGGTGATGGCATTCCTTTTCCTTTTGGAAAAACTAATTGTCTACTTTGTGACTCGTACTATGCTATAATTCATTATAGAGTATTAGCAGGCAGACTGAAATATAAACCAGTCAACCCACTTCGAAACTGCAAGTTGCGGAGTTTATGATTATGAAGATGGCGATGACGATAAGGATGAGGATAAGGATGACAAAAACAGCCACGGGCACAATCAAAGCGTTTTTCTAATAAAGCAACTTGCTATTAAATCACTTAGCACCATCCTAGATGCTGAAGATGGACTGAACAAAATTGTAACAGCTCTCAATGCGGACGTGCACGCACGCTGCTTTTAATTAAAAAATTAATGGGGCTGGTGGGTACGAGAGGATAGGAGAAGCTTTTGAAGTAAAAGTGAAGAGGGCAGACAAGTTACAAGTGAAACACGCGAGTTGAGCACAAAAGCTGCCAGGACTGAAGCGAGTGATTATCATTTGCCCAAGCATTTGCGGTTAGCTCACACTCACACACATACACAATCACGCACACAAAGACAGCGAAGTGACAGCAGCAATGTTTGACTAATTGTTTGTAGGCGCACGTCAGCATCAGCAACATCGTTCGACTGTCATGAAACTGCCAAAAAATTTGCATTTTGCAAGGACCTACTACTCTACCACCCGGCCACCCATCAAACCATCCAACCAGAACCTGCCACAAAGTCACGCCTGCTGCCAGCCAGCTGCTGTACTTATATACCCTACACAAGAGGGAGTTGTTACTATTTAGGAAAAATGATGGATAGAAGATAAGACTATTATTGCTTCATAGCCATTCGTGCGATCTATTCTGTCGCGATTTTTTATAAAAGTGATGATTATTTTCTATTATTATTATAGAGTAGTATTTATAGAACAATGGATTTTGTACTTGGCGCAAGGTAGGGAGGAAGTTTTTACTTTTTAAGGAAAAAGCCTGATAGAAGGATAGACTATTATTGCTTAATAGCCATTCGTACGATCTATTCTATTCGTCGATTTTTTGTATAAGTGAATTGTATCTTATATTATTATTCTATTATTCTAATATTTATTTATTTTATCTAAAGGTAAACATGCGATCATGTAAGCCATGAAATGTAATTCAAAATTATTTTAATATTTACTATCTTTTTGCAGGAAATTATTTTTGACAATTCATGAAAATTAAATTTGAAAAATTTGATCAAACTATTTGCCGGTCTAGTAGAAATTATAAGTCAAACTATCTGCCAGTCTGGCCATATTTTTTGAATATACATACAAACATATTTCTTTAGGTATTGTTAATGCTCGCTGTTAAATACAGCCAAGGCTAACAGCTGTAAGAGGTCTGTTCGTCCGCGCAGGCTCTTTCCATAATATTAGTCTATTATGGAGTCTGTAAGTGCTTTACTGGGAACTTGTGAAATTAGTCTAAAAAGAAGATACTTGGTGAATATACGTATCAGAGAAAAAAGTTGTTTTTACATTTACGCCGCCATTTTGGAAATATTTGTGCAATTTGTTCACTTCTTTACAAATATAATGGCTGGAATCGATAAATCCCAGTTAATTTTATATGTCATTACTCTTTAAATCGTGGCTATGTATATAACAACCACCCCAATATAGCTTAATTTCTTTCAATTCTCTCATAGCAGCCTACAAATTAGTTCAAGAAACAAATGTGCAAGAAGGGCATTAAGAGTTTGGGCAAACCCTTGTTGCGTCGACTGGATTTGGATTTATGTCGCTGCATTATATGTACTTCACATTGTTTAGAGGTTCACTTCAGTTCTAGAAGTTGTTTAATCACGACACATAAAACTTTTGTTGCCCCAAAATGTGGCACCAAATTTTGATTCCGAGCACTTGGAGAGAGAGAAAGTGTGCGGAGACCTTAACATTCAAGTACTTCATTACCACTTACTCGTGTATTGATTTGTTATAACAAAAAAAAAAAAAAAAAAAAAAACAAATTTGTTTTTTTTATTTTTTTGGGATAAAAGCACAAAATTGCAACTAAGATGAATTTATAATAAAACTTATAGAAATGGAATGCTACGAAATGAATTACATGTATTCAGCTACTTAGTTGTTCAGTTGAATATTCTCTACTCTTTATACTAAATATTATTAAGTAAGCGTCAGCTTAAAGTAGGCCATCCATATTATTTAATTTTTTTAACCTTTAATCTTATTTCTCCACAGTGATGGCTCACTTGCGAGGCATTCAATGAATTGGAGCAAAGATTCTTTACTTCTTTGGCATGTATTTGCATGTGGTCTGTCTTACCTTCTTCCTAACCTTTCGCCCTTCGCTTGCTACTCAACTCTTCACAACCAACAATGCTCGGATGACGCGACAGTCCTCTTCTCTCACTCACGTATTGCATATATATAATAAGTTATATAAGTTCTCACCGTTTATCTGTTGATATCACTAACACTCGAAATTTAATGGCGATAGGCTCTGAACACGATTGGAAAAGAAATTTACAACTACTATTTGTATGTATTACGACCGAAAAAATAATACTAATTTTCTGTCGAAAAGCACCGTTCAGACTAACAAGATGTGTTAAATTTTTAGACTGGAAGCACATGGCACACTACCCAAATATTCTATCTACTCTACGACTTTGTGGTTAGTGTGTTCTGGCATAAATAATAGAAATTTTCCCATGCTTTATTGTGCAAATGTTTATTTTCGTAATCTTCAGTCATTTTTCCACAATGATGGTTTATTCAATTAATTGAATTTGCTCACTCACAAATGATGTTCACACCAAAAGTTAGAAATATTTATATTATTCGCGAACAAAACGCTGAACACTCAAATGTAACCCAAACAATCTGTTCTACGTTAAAAAATGATTCCAATTTATTGTGTTGAAAAAAAAACAGCGAATATGTTATTATTTACTTATTTTCTTTAGCGCCCCGACCCTCAACTTTTAAAACTAGCAAGATACCTTTCGCTTGCTACTCAACTCTTCACAACCAACAATGCTCGAATGACGCGATAGTCTTTTTCAGAAGTGACCCATTCTTCATTTATTTTGCCCTCACGTATTGCATATATATAATAAGTTGTATTTTGTACTCACCGTTTGATGTATTGATATCGCTAACACTCGAAATTTAAGAGCGAAATGTTCTGAACATGCTAGGAAAAAATGTACAATTACTATTTGTATCTATTACGATCAAGAAAATAATACTAATTTTCTGTCGAAAGGCACCGTTCAGACTGACAAGATGTGTTGACTTTTTAGACTGGAAACACATGGCACAATAGTATTCATCAGATATGTGGACGCAATGCCTGCTGCCACCAGATATTCTGTCTATTCTTCGCCCTTGCGGTTAGTGTGTTGTGGCATAAATAATGCGCCTGCTGCCAATGGGGAAAAATTTTTTTTATTCCTAGGGAGCGCTTTTGCGGTTATTAAAATTGCAAGCCACCGGCATTGAAGCCGCGTTTAAAACGCTCATGTAAATCTCAAAGGATTCAGGTAAATTACGTGGCTGGGCGAGAACGGCAACAAGAGAAAGTCCCGGCAGCCAGCACCAGTTAAGTCAATTAATTGGCGTTAGATTTATTAGTTTCCCTTCTAGTTTTGTTCCCTCACTTCAAACTTCACTCACGCCACCAGCCCAACACCCTGCCTCTCTGACTGAGTATGTGTGTCACTTATATACATATGCGTTTTGATTTATGGTGCGGTAAAGTGTTTATAAGCCAAGGTGACAGCAGCTCTACATAGGTGGGGATTTTGGGGGCTTAGGTCTACGGCGTTTGCATATAAATAGACTAGCAGGTCTACCCGTCTTTGCTGGGCTAAGTAAAATGTGCTTATAATTATAAGCTTATTTACTATATGATATTCTTCTTTCGACGCTCTCTAAAGTTTTTTTAAGAGTTCATTTTCCAAATAGCAAATATATTACAATATGTACTATGTATGGTTATACGTACATACATACATATGTACATACAAGTATCTTCGTTATCCACCGGACGGACTGCCAGTCCTGACTTAACTGTTGGCTTCCTCAGCATGTTGTACGCACGGTCGAGTTATCCCCGAAAAGTCCGACGCTGGACATTTAATTTTAATTTATAAACCCGAACGTCCCAAAATTGGAGCGTACGGCAATGCTGATATGTACATAAATTTAAATTTGCGATGCAGGCGTCATCCGCCTATATATATATATATATATATATATATATATAATTTCGAACTAAAATTTTGGAAATACCCCCAGTTAGTTATTATGTGTCCGTATGCCAAATTTCATTATGATAGACCGATTTAACAAGAAGTTATAGCCATAAATATATTTGCTGATGCAGCGCTGCTGCAGCGCTGCTCAAGCGCTGCCCGCGGCTGTTGTTGATGTTGCTGTTTGGTTGACTGCGAAAATGCTTACACAGACACGAATAGATGCGCATAGGCATACATACACTCACACAGGCGCAATTTCTATGTAAATGTGCAATTATAAACCCTTTACGTGAGTTCGAATACCGAGAGAGGTAAAATCGATCAAATTTTTTTTTTATTTTCTTAATTTTTTTATTTTCTATAATTATTGTAAACATATGTACAGAGTATTTCAAAGTCGGGACACCCGACTTTAGCTTTTTTACTTGTTTTGATAAAAGAATGTAGTTTCCTTTTTGAAACCAGACACAAATCTATAAATATGTCACTTGCGCATATATAAGCAGGTCATAAAAGTCAGTACACGCACAAGTGAGTGCAAGGAAAAAGGGTCGCTGAAACCCAAGACAGACAGACCATAAACAATGTATGCATCTGGTATCGATTAGTGCGATATCATATGCAGGTCACAGATTGAAACCACCAATAGGAAATACAGTCCACATACACATAAGAGAAGGAATTATAAAACCAATGTAAATCAAAGGGAACTGCAGAAAGAGAGAGTAGATGTAGAATATAGAAAATAAGTGTAGATCTTAAGTAACAATTGTGTATAAAATAAGCACTATTTTCAATAATAAAACATTTCAAATTTTGAATTCAAACAATGAAGGTGTTTCCTTTGGATTCCCATTCATTTTGGTCATTCGAGCCTTTGTGGCAATCTGTTGTTTTCCCCCACCAGTGGTAAGAGACACAGAAATAAAACCAGCGCCCTAAAGCATGATTTTACAGTTAAGGGTTAGCTAAAAATAAAAAACTCTGTTCTCCCCCACCAGTGGTAAGAGACAAAGTATAAAAATAAATAAATATATATATATATATTGATTTAAAAACAAGTGCGGCTCCAGAACATCGGGAGAGTGAAAATATATAAATTTTGTTTGAAAAATTGTTGTTTGAAAACAAAAAGAAAAAGGGCGTTTCCCGAGGCCCAAAAAACCGCTAGAAAAAAGTAAAGTGTGTGTGCTGATTAAAGCCAGGTGATCGACGACGCACGTGCAGGTGCATAAAAAAGTAGCGGCGGAGCAGGGAGAGGATCAAGTGGTCGACAGCGGAAGAGCAGGGAGAGGATCAAGTGGTCGACAGCGGCGGAGCAGGGAGAGAATCAAGTGGTCGACGACGTGTACGTGTAGCGTGCACAAAGAAGCAGCGACTTCTTAAGGATGCTGACAATAAAGACATAAATGTTCAGCAATTAAAAAAAGTAGTTAAAGAAAATATGGACCAAACCAAGCAAGACGCAAATTATCAGCAGCTAAAAAAAGATTTTAAAGAAAATGTCGATCAGCTAAGGAGATATTTGGACGAGGTTAAGAATGACCTCAGAGAAGGAAATACGGAAATATTAGACATTAGAAAAAACAAGGTGGAGTTTTTGTGGCAAAGGACTCACAAGAAAATATGTGAGCTTAGAAAATTCGACACTAATGCATACTTTGAAGAAGGAGTATGTGAATTAGAGTTTGATGTTAAAAATATTGTAAGCGCTGTAGAGAAAAAAATTAAAGTAAATTTGGTGGACCAAGGGAAGATTGAAGGAGCAGGTATCAAGGAAAAATTTGATGACCTCCCGATACTTCCAAAAATACAGGTACCTATCTTTTATGGTGACCCAAAAGAGTGGGACCTATTTTCGGAGTTATTTATAGAACTCATTTATGGAAGAGAGGATCTCAGTCGCTCTCTGAAGTTTAATTATTTAAAAACCGCATTAAAAGGAGAAGCAAGGAGCATGGTTGCTCATTTATTATCAGGTTCGGGTAAGAACTATGAAGCCGCTTGGGACCTACTAACCAAGCGGTATGAAAATAAAAGAAAAATATTTTCCGATCAGCTTAATCGTTTGATGGACCTTCCCATCCTAAACAACGATTCAGCTAAACACGTCAAAATTTTTATCGATACGTTAAATGAATCAATACATTTAATAAAAATTAAATCACAGTTATCAGAAGAAGTTGATGTGATCTTTGCCCACATGGTGTTGAGAAAATTTAATAGAGAGACACTGCAGTCCTACGAAAACCATGTAAAACGAACCAAAGAAATTCAGTTATTGGGCGATGTAATAGGATATTTAGAGCAACGATTTAATTCATTAAGCTCGGTGAACGACGAGGAGAAGAAAACAGTCAAAAAGACATTTATGAATGTAAAGGAGAATTGTCCGGTTTGCAAAATGCCGGGACATAGCATAGTACAGTGCTATAAATTTAAGGGAATGACTCCATTTGAAAGAGCTGAGATAGCTAAAAAAGTACAATTATGCTCATGGTGCCTTAAGCACTCTAGTAGTATAAGGTGCAAAAACGATAGTGTATGTTCTCTGTGCAATAGAGCTCACCACACAATGCTTCATTTTAAATTAAATACATGTGTGACAAAAGAACACACACTGTTAGCCACAGCACTCATAAGAGTCAAATCAGTAAGTGGGGGGTATGAAACTCTAAGAGCCTTAATTGATACTGGCTCTCAGAGTACACTTATTTCAGAGGAGGCAGCCCAAATTTTAAAACTGCCCAGAATAAAAACTCAAACAGAAATAAGTGGAGTATCCTCCACGGAAACTATTATATCTAAAAACAAAGTAGCGCTATGCATAAGAACTCGAGACTACTATAAGCAGCCTTTAAAAGTTGAAGCAATTGTCATGCCAAAACTCATGAAGGCGCTTCCGTCTAAATCGATGAATATCGATAAAACAAAGTGGCACAGTTATGTATTAGCTGATCCAAATTTTGATAAACCAAGTAGAGTAGATGTTATATTAGGTGCCGACTTGTATACTCATATTCTAAAGAATGGGGTTGTGAAAATGGATGGGCTTCTTGGGCAAAACACAGATTTTGGCTGGATTATATCCGGATGCACCAAATCAAAAGGCGAAAATACCATAATGTCAGCAACTATTGAGGTTAAGGACCTCGAAAGATTTTGGGAATTAGAAAGTGAGGATAATGAGGAAACAGAAGCAGATCTTTGTGAGTACTATTTTATT